ATAAACAACTATTTCGATACTCGTCAATAAACGGCTATTGATCAGAGTTCTGTGGCTTCTGTCAGAATTTCTGCGTTAAAAATGGAAGTCGATATATGTTTTCGACCGGAAATATTTTTTTGGTGTAGAGTGAATTAATGAAACTGGTAAGCACCTTGCTTCAGCCCCTTTTCTGCTGGAGAACTCCAAGTGCGAAGGATTAGAGGTATAATTGCTGTGTCTGTGCACTGAAACGCCATTTTGATGAACAGATATCTAAAGATTTTCTCGATTGGATTCTTCACATTCCTAGGGACATATAAAGGTTAGTTTCAATAATAATCCATATTTTATTGTTTTCGCCAGTATATAGAATTCCTTCCAGAAACTAAACAAGGTTAGTTTTATTGTTGACCAAATTGTGTATCTGAGATAGCATCCTGCAACTTCCTTTTATTTTACCTTATCAAATCCCTTGCTTATTTGATGTGGTTTGATTTCATTGAGATTATTTAAGCTGAATTTTAACGCTTCATGCATACTTGTGGTTATTTCCACATACTTTCAGTCGATCCCAGAGCTTCTGTTTTTACATTCCGTAGATATAATATTCAGATTTTTCTAAGCTTCCTTATGTACATCTGTGATCATGTTGTATTAAGTATAACTATTCAATTCATAATAATGGGACACATAGCTCGAGTCGAATGGAGGTGTGCAGAGGTGGTGCAGTTTTTTACGCTTATGGAATTTATAGGTCCTTTTTTTTAAGCTGGGGCATTTCTTGAAACACCCTTTCAAGCATATCCTAATTCTGGAATAACATTTCAAGCTGGGAGCATTTCCTGATCCCGGAATCAAACTTCAAGCTGGAGCATTTCCTGATCCCGGAATCATACTTCAAGCTGGAGCATTTCCTGATCGTGGAAACACCTTCCAAAACTGGGGCATTTATCCTGACCACGCGAAACACCACACCACAAAGTACCTTCTGGACATCAAGCAATCACCAATATAGTGGAGTAAATTTCGAGAGCTAAGTCGCTTAGTTCGTGAGATAAAAAAAACTGGCGTAGAAACAGACCAGACTTAGTCCATTTCTTCAAGTAGGTGGTACTGCATACGAAATCACTTTTTACGACATTTTTTAGTGGTCGGGAACTTTTAAATTTCAAAAAAACTCATAAAAATGGATTTTTACGTAAAACATGTTTTTTTCCGTCTCCACCGCTATATCTCTCAAAGTAATCGTGCTATCAACCTGATTTTTTCTTTAAATTGAAGAGGATACAAAAGCGCTTCTAACGATGTACATCATGATTATAAAATATTTCAATTAAATTTGTTGTACTGATAGAAAATTTAATTTTCATATTTTTGTGAATGTAATTTATAGCAATCGATAAACTTTTTTATTTTTCAAAATTTGTACATATAATATGCGAACAAAATGAAGCCAAAGGATGAAGGAAGTTTTTGGAAAAACAATTTTTCATCTATATACTTATGTATCTAGACAATGATTTTTTCAAAACGGGCTAAAAATGCATTCGCGGGCGCCCGACTCTCTCGTTTTCCATTTCAATGCCTGCCGCCGACTACAGCTGATCCGTTTATATGTGATAAGAAGTAGGACTCTGATGGGATGTTATTTATTACCTTCCATTGTTTTCGTTTCAAGTTATTGTACACTGCTAGTGGTAATTCTTTATCAATAATCGTTTCAAACTAAGTACCATCCTTCAGTTTGGTTATTGAACAATTTTGATTGGGACCAAAAACATAATATATATGTTCAGAACAGTTTTTATTTCTCTGTTAACAAATATAAGTATTGGTAATCTACATCAAAAGTGTTCGAATTCATTATCATCTCCACTATCCTCCTCAAAATCTTTAATGATATTGCTACAAAAACGGCATTTACACTCGTCACAACATTTAAGGCCTTCTTTGAAACAACCACATTTTCGGTATCACAATTTTTATCTGAACAATAAATACTCAGTGACTGTCTCACAAAATCAGGAATTGGTTTATCGCTTGAAAATATTGGGATCAAAACGTCATCAGTTAAAGTCCATCCTGAACCATCAGTATCCATGAATGGTGTTTCAGTGTTGCTGCTGTACCATATTCTAAGTTGATACATACACCTGTAATTCAAATGACCAATTGCAACGATTGTAACGATTTTTAAAGCTTCGTCATGAGACAACAAAGGTAGTTGTGATAATTTCTTGTGCCAAGAGACAAGAACAAATTGTAGATCCTAAACTTTGTACTATTTTTTCAATTGACAAATATCATTTGTTATTATCATGTCCAAGTTGCATAAATAAATTAGTCTCTTTCAATTCAGAGTCAGAACAAAAAAAGTGAATTAGTAAAATGAGTACATCTGTATCAACTGATTTCACCAATAATTGTTCACTGAATTTAGTTTCATATAATGCATGTAAAATTATTCTGGTATCTGCCTCTTCATGTTTGCTGAATAGAGTTTTGGTTATTTCTGAATGATACTTATATAATGAAACAACTTTTTCCGATATTTCAAATCCGCCAGCTATCACTAATATTTCATTTTCATTCAAGTACTCAGCAGCATTTTGTGTCATATATTCCGTCAAAAAAATCAAAAGAGATTGTTTGTTTTTATAAGATTTCAAAAAATTTCGATATTTTTGTATTTTTCGACTACCAATTACGTTGAAATGTGGAACATTAGAATCTCCGCGTCTCAAACGTTCACCCGTTTTCATAGATTTTTCATTGTAGGTGTCAAAAACTACCGTTGTTCGAAGTGCTTGACATCTGCGTCCTGCATTAATTACAGCTTTTAAGAAAATTCTACCTGAATCGTTGAAAGTTACAAATTTCTTTTCATTGAGTTCTTGAATGGTTACCATTCCATCTATCAGCAGCGATTGTGCAATTGGACAGTCAACGATTGCTTTAGACTCGTCTTCAATTTTTTTGATTAAATCAGATTTAGTTGTCTTCCTCATGGAACCATCGTCATGAAATAAGGATGTTGGTACTATTGTCAGCTCGTGTGATAGTATCGTATTCATATCGATTTCATTGACCTGTGCTGCACACAATATTCTTCGAAACATTAATTCCGAACCAATGATCACTTTTCCTTTTTCAATCTTCTCCTTAACATTTCCTCTCTGAATGTCAAAATTTTATTCCTTGACCTAGGTTTCCAGAAATGTATGTGATCGATCTCATTCAAAAATACTTCTTTATTATTCTCAGCTTTATCAATGAAGTTGCTTAGGCTCAGTTCGATATCAGAATTCACCTCCTTTCCCGTACAAATGTTTATTAAAGATGAAGGAACATCGTTAACGTTGAATGGGTTGCACCAATCACGCTCAATAGTGTTAATCATGACTAGTACATTGCTTTCGTTTATTTTCTGTAATGAATTTCCTTCCATTCTTTGAGTGAATTTGCTTCCGGACATCGCTTCTAAAATAATACAAAAATCATTTCAAAATCTGACTACCTACTAAATATGCCGCAAATTTCGAACTAATTCAGCCTCGTCTTACATGTCTCCTTTGGCGCGTGCCGATGTGTATATGGAGCGCGCGAGAGAGCGCGCTATTAAAAAAATCACTGTTGCCAAACTATACATATTGGGGGAAAACTAATCAATTCAAAAACTTCTACCATATGTGTGCTTCATTTGGTTCGCTATATGTATATAAAAATTTCCTCAAATAAAAAAGTTTATCGATTGGTGCAAAAAATGATACATATATTTTGAACTCCATGATTTTATGATTTTTATAAAATGAACGAAAAAAATTTTGTAGAGTCCATCGGTACTGTTGGAAGCGCTATTGTATTTACTTCAATCGACAAAAAAAATCACCCCGATAGCTTCATTAGTTCTGAAGATATGACGGTGGAAACAGAAAATAACAGATTTTATCTGAAATCATTTTTTTTTCAGTTTTTTTCTGTAAAAAAGTTCTAGACCACTAAAAAATGTCGTAAAATACGATTTCGTATTCCTTATGACATGCTTAACAGAACCTGCCATGTCTGATCTGGTTCTACGCCAAAAAAAAAAACGAAACGATAGGGTCTCGAAATTACTCCACTAACAAGATTATATTAATCAAAGAATACTTTGTAGGCCATAACACCAGATCTATTCTGATTACTGGCCAATTATATGTTTATAAATAAATAAAATCAGTACTTCATTCTTCTCACTAGGTACACAAGGATAAGTACTTGATAATGATTTTGACAGTGAAGAAATGAACTCAACCTAGTTGCTTAGGTTTTCTTGAGGTTATATTGATTAACTATTGTTACCAATAGACTTATGTTTTGGAATTTGAGTAGCTATTTTATCAGTGTCAGTATTAGATTTCTTATACCGAGAAAAAATATTGTTCTGCTGAATTGGTAATGAAATCGATAAAAATACTACCCAACATTTTCGCGCTAATGGTATTGTGGCTTTTCAGTGTGAATATTGTTATGCCTATAGTTTTTTTAATCAACCACTTTTCAATAACACAACCATACAGACTACAATTATTCATTGGAACAATTCATTTTCTCGATCTTATCTCTACTGAATTGCTCTAACTTGAAAAATTTGCCACAATCAATGAAAGAAAATCAAATTGTCAATTCATTGATTCTTCTGATTGCCACTAAATTTTCCAGAAATGATTAGAAACTTGATAGTTTACTTGGGGTCCTTCTGTTGATGAACCGAATCAAATACTTGTTATTGAACTTGAAGTGACTAGCTGTTAATCTAATGATTACATCCGTCCTTCTGACATTTCTGAATGCATAGACATGCATTATTTATTTGAGAATTACATAACTTTTATAGTATAAGAGAAAAGGATGATTAAAAAAGAATAACCAAGTAGTTTGTGTCTTCTCTATCGAGTTTTCAATCTTAAATATGATGGAGAACTTCAAGTTAACACATTTGACCAAACATATGTTTAGACAATATTTGTTATTGGTCTAATTTTACTGTAGCGATGAAAATTACGTTTCCCTTATTCAAAACAACAATGCACATATTTCCAGAGGAATCAGAATCGGAAAAGCGTAAACGTAAATTGAGAAATAATAGAATAAAGAAATCAGTTTTGGAAACACGCCCATTAGAAGAATCCAAAGAATCAAAGTCTGCAACTGATGAAACCAAGGTAAAATCTCCACTGAAAGAAAGTTTGCTGATGGCAGAGGTTGAAAATGTTGTCCATAATAAATTTCGACAAACTGAGGAAGTTAAAGCTCTCACTCAAGAAGTCATCAAAACTATTCGAGACATTATCAGTCTAAATCCTTTGTACAGAGATAGTTTGCAGCAGATGATGCATCAAGGACAAAGGGTTGTAGATAATCCTGTATATCTAAGTGATTTAGGTGCGGCCCTAACAGCAGCAGAAAGTAAAGAACTTCAAGAGGTCTTAGAAGAGATGGACGTGAGTTTCACTTAGAAAGTTTTTGATATTTCAAATACATATTCAAATATCTATCTATTTTCTAGATTCCAAAAAGGCTGATGCTATCTTTATCACTTTTAAAAAAAGAATATGAACTCTCAAAACTTCAGCAAAAAATCGGAAGAGAAGTAGAAGAAAAGGTCAAACAACACCATAGAAAATATATATTGCAAGAACAACTGAAGGTACTCTTGTTAATGAGTTATCAGGGTTATTTAGGTTTCTCTTAGAACTAGAAATTAATTTCTTTGTCAATCAAGTACTCATTTTGACAAAATGTAATAATTTTGCGAAAGAAGAATAAAAATCTTTCCTTTTCAATTTGTAGGTAATCAAAAAAGAATTGGGCCTTGAAAAAGAAGACAAAGATGCAATTGGTGACAAATTCAAGGAGAGAATAAAAGACAAAGTCTTACCTCAAGCCGTATCAGCTGTTATAGATGAGGAATTAAATAAGTTGAGTTTCTTAGAAAGTCACAGTTCGGAATTCAAGTAAGTAAACTGAAATAGAATTTATTGATCCAGATTTACAAATCACTCAAACAAGTTTGTACTTACTTGAAATTTGATTTTTTCCTTTTTTTTCTTTTAAATATGTTACTATTTCGATATGTATATATGTCCTGTATTCAATACTTCCATCCCAAAAAAGTATAGTGTGTCCTATATTTGGGTCTAGTGCCTGTTTGGACAGTGAAAGTTTTTTATATGTACGTACAGGGTGATCCAAAAGTCTGGGTACTGCTCAATTACTCGAAAATGTAAAGTCCTAAAAAATCATAACTTTGCAAATTATTTGAAGGTCAAGATTACTTTCTAAATAGGAATTCATAAATTTTATTACATAAACGAAAAGAACAGGAAAAATTGAGGAAATGATTATTGAATTCAATTCTTAAGGAGGAGCCGATTCGTGCATGAAAAAATAAAATAAAAACCACCGTTAATAGTTATCAGCTAAAAGGTTAAAATACTATAAATGAATCGCTCTTGATGTTATGGTAAGAGAGCTTATTAGGAATTTATAACTCTGGTGCAACAATATATAACAAATTTAAATGCTACAAGAAAGAGCATTTGAAAGTTTGTTGTGTAGTCTGTCACAATTTCGTCTCCAATTGTTTAGAGAGAAAAAAAGTCAATATAAAATTGATCTGGCATACGATATACTGCTCGAAAAAATGTCGAATCTATGGAATATAATGAAAACAAAAAAGTTCATAATTTCTCAGAAGAACTCAGAAAGTTAAAAAGTGAAAATGAAGTCATTTCAAAGACAAATTTTTGAAGCTTAACAATTATATGAAGAAAATCAAATATAATATAAAGGGTTAATAACTGATGAAAAAAAAGAAAATAATTGAGCAGACGAGGGAAATAGCATAACTAATAAGGGAGTTATCTTTATTAAGAAATAAAATTATTGGCATTAATGACCACAACTGAAATTGAAGCATTGAAAAGAAATTTGGAAAAAAAACTGGAAGCTGAGAAGGCCAACTATAACTAGAGCTGACAAGAAATCAAAGATGATTCAATGAAATTGAAACACGAAAATGTAGAGGTCATGAATTAGCGGCGGCTCGTCAGAGGAGGCAAGGGAAGCTAAGCCTCCCCATACAATTTGAAGCTATTCATCGCAATAATTTAAAAGATATTGACAAATAATTGTGATTATTTTTTCCTAAAAATGCTTGGATATCATTACTTTA